AGCTGACTTGAAGGTGTCCAGCCTCTCGAGGTGATCCTTTACTAGATCAACACCGATGCTGGGTATAAATATACCCTCACCCTGGCTGTCCCTTGTCTTGCTAGGCCAGGTGGTCCCATTGGACAGATGAAAGACTGACATGAAGTACCCATTGAGCAGATTGGCCTTTTCTGGAGTGTCAGTTATCGGCAGTCCCGTTTGATGCAGCAGGAGTCCAGTGTTACCCTTGCTTCTTTTCTGACTCCCTACGTATCTGAAAAAGGACTTTTTGTTATCCTTGATGTGTGTAGCCAGATGGAGCTTGGTTGCAGCCTTGGCTTGCCTTATCCGCTCCCTGGAGGTACAGACCAGTGTTGAGCACTCCTTGTTGGTGGTACTTCCAGCCTTCCATCCTTTGTATGTATCTCTTTTGGGGCATAGGAGATCCTCAAGTTCCCTGCTGAGCCAAGGGGGTTGCTGCGCCCTTTTGTTACCGTTCCTCTGAGATCGGATGGCCATCCCTTGTGCTGTCAGGATCACTCCCTTGAGGAGCAACCACTCCTCTTGGACTCCTCTGCCTGTCGAGTCGTGGTCCCTTAGGGCCTCAACAACGAACCTCCTGAGCTTGTCAAAGTCAGCTTTCCTGAAGTCAAGGACTTCTCTATTGCTGACTGACTTGCCAGCTTTGCAATGGATAGTAAAGGTGATCAGCTCGTGGTCACTGTCACCCAGCTGCCCATCGATTCTTAGGTCACTGACTAGATCATCCCCTCTGCCCAGTACTAGGTCCAGCAACGCTTTACCTCTCGTCAGCCCATAGACTTCTTGGGCCAGGTAGAGCTCATCCACGCACGTGAGGAAGCTTTGCAACTAATCGGATTTGGGCGAGTGCTCTTCCCATGAGAAGTCCAAGTAATTAAAGTCTCCCACGACAATCATGCACCGAGAGCATTCCCCACATCCTTCCTTCAGTACCCACCCCACCCCTAAGATCGAGGTGCTGGAGGAGCAGATGGTTTAACACAGCAGATCACTTCTTGTAGCTCTGCATTCAGAGTGCATGGGGAAGGAGTCACTGCTGTATGAAGAGTCTAACTGCTTCCAGTGCATGCCAGGTATTGTGGAGGTCGTTCAGAGACAGTTTCCTTAGTGGGCTTCTTCAGCTTCCCCTGGCTAGACTGTTCTAACAGTTAATTGGCGAAGTCGCAGAAAAAGTAAGTTCTGCTTGTTGGCAGCTTTCACAAAACACTGTATGGGACCTGCATGGTTGAGATCAAACACTGCCCAGTTTCTTGATAACAAATCGGAATACCTGGATTTAATGGTTCATTACTGTAAACAGAGTATTTTCCACCAGCTTTTTTGTTATTCAGCTTCTCTTAGGGAAACATTTTAGCTTTTACAAAGTCTGGTGACGGAATCCTTGTGGTGAAACTAGCCCAGAAGCTGGGCTTGGAAGAAGGTCATGAAGAGTTTTCTGGAAATGTCACACACCTTTAATAGGAAAAAAAATGGGTAATGTTTAAGAACCACATAAAAGAGTTCTGAGCATACGTGGTAGTTTAGAGGCCTCTGAGTCTTGAGTATTGAATACTCTGTGCTATTGGTTATTGCTATGGAGGATCCTGTTTGCACAAAAAAACCCCAAAATAAATTGGTCATAGCCATGTACTTGAGGGAGCAACACAAGCACTGAAATTGTGGTAACATAAGTGATTTGTGGCAAGGTTTTGAGTGTGCCATGACATTCTCCATCAGTGGAATACAATCTTCTTCCCAGCATACAATCTTCTTTCCAGAATGTAGTTTATCACCCCATGCTACGAGGGAAGAATTAATTAAATCAAATTTTTATAACTGACAAAAGCAAGATTTTGCTCTTGTAGGAAGACGCATTTATTATTTGGAATTCAGACTCTTCTGGGAATGTGGTTGGAATCCAGAGGCAGGAACTGCAGCCAATAAAAATCTTGTGCTTTGGAAGATTGAAATTATGGGGAATAACTTTAAATAATGTTAGACTTTTGTCACACAGCATGTATAAGAGCTGTTTATTTTGGAACTCATTAAAGTCGGAGAGTTATAAGATTCTCTTTCAAAAGCTGAGAGAAATTAAGCACATATTTTAATGTGATTGCAGTAGTTAATCAGTGAAGTGTTTAAGAGATAAGGATTTATTCTGCAAGGACTTGAGGCTTATAGAAACACCTTGAGAGTGCTCAGCATTTCAGAGAATCAGACTGAAATGATTTAACACATTTTTGTTGAACTGTTTTATTTCAAGTTGTGGTTAATACAGGAAAATGGTTTAAGTGTTTTTTGTTATTTTTGTTAGCCCTCCAACAGATAATGTTGTTCAGTTATCAATTGCCAAAAGATGGAATGTTTAATGCGAAGATTCTGGAAGGAATACATTGTTAAAAGCATCTATAAATTCATATTTTATGGTAACGCTTTATTGCTGTGATTTACAGGTACTTATAATATTCCTCACTATGGACTTTAAGGTGTTTCAAGAACATAACTTGCAAGGTCCACACATACAACTTCGGTTAATGTCAGTAGGAGTTTTACAGAGTTGCTATTCCTGTGGGGTGTGGAAACTTAGAAATGAATAGGCAGTTTTCCTTTGAGAAGTAAGTTAATCTAATTTTTCAGTTGCGGCGTTTTTTGACAAATATTCGTTTTGTCCTTAAACTTTTTCTCATCAAGTTGCAGATCAGACATCTTTTTATCTTTTCAGAAGCAACTAAAACTCTTCAGAGTAGTTTTCCATGTCATGGGAAAAATCAGTTCTTAAAGAGTATTACCACACATCCTGGGGATGTATTTTATAGTCTGTGTATTATCTAGAAGCTAATCAGTTTGCTTTCTTTTCTAAAACATGTTTCCTAATTCCTGATGTAAAATATGTCTTAGATTTTGTCCTCTGTTGGACGCTGAGGTTGCTGATAGTCTGTGTTGGACTTCACAGTGTGCTTATAAAGTTGATGATTTGTTAGGAGGCAATATACATAGTGCAGCTTTAATGATGATAAAGATGCAATTACTTCTAATAATTAGATAAATCGGTTCTGTTCTGATTTTCTGAGGTCTGTTTTTAGAAGTTCTCTGCACCTGAATTAATGAGCCCAGTTTAAACCTTTTTAATGTCTCTTCCTGTACTTTTGGACCCACATTTGAATCTGTAAGTCTCTTAAAAACACAAACCAAGTTCCCTATAAGACAGACGCTCAAATTACCTGTAATTAGTATAAAAAATATTAGGTACACGGTTTATCAATAAATAGGCTCCAAACAATGGGTACAAATTTTGCAGCTATAAACTGTAGATGAAAGAAGGAAGAAAATTAGTCTTAAATCCTAACTCTCAAGTTTATATTTTCCAAGCATTGCCAAGAGTTTTGCTCTGTAATAAATGGAAAAAATGTCTTTAGTTATGCTCACTTTTGTATGCCTTTCTGAATACTTCAATTGCCTTTATTAAAACTTGGATCTCCAGAACATCCAGTTTTTCTTTATAGTCAGTTAATGGTGATTCAAATGTGCTTTCCAAATGAGACCGATCCAGTTAGCATCTATGTTCTTATATTAGTGGCTCACAGTATTCATTATATGAAGCCCTCTGAATAATGAGGTTGAGATTAAAGTTCTAATTTGCCTTCCTACTTTTTTGTTTATTTGCCTAGCAGGTGCAAAACACCTCTAGAAGTCTGCATGTCCTTGACCATTGTCATTTTTTAATTTTTATTTGTTAGTTTTGTGTCTGCACAGCTGAAAGTTATGACACTGTGCAGAAAGATGAGAAGAAATGCTTATAATCTAGAAGACCAAATACAGACAATGGACAGGGAATGGAATGTAACAAAGGAAGATGAGCAAGTCAGGGTATTTGGCGTAGGTTATACTTGTTCTGTAGTGTTTCTGTTTTACGCATTGAGTTAATGTATCTTTGATGAGAAAAAAAACTTGAAGGTGTAATGGAAGGAAAAAGGAGCAGATACTGGTATGAAACAGTCATAGTTGTTTAGGTGGTTGTGCAAAAAAACAGTTGTTTCTAACTCCACCCTGGAGAAAAACGGTATATGGGCATGCCCATCAGAAATTGTGAGTTTAGAGACTTAGCTGGGAATGAAATAAGCTGGGAATGAAAACCATAGGAATTGTCAAGGAATGGGGGAAGTGGTCAGAGCCTTCTGTCATTAATTGTTTGTGACTTCAAAATAAAGCAAAAGCTCAGGAAGACTGAGTTTAACTTTTGAGGGCAGGGAGGGATTCAGACATCTGCATGGTAGCGAGCACAGAGACAAGAATGGATGGAAGATGTGCCTTTGTTTTATAGACAAGTAAACTGAACTACCCCTTAGCAGCATTAAAGCAATCTTGCCCTGTGTGCTACTTCATCCTGCAAGTTCATGCCAGTTTACTGATATTGCACACACATACACTCTGCTTTTCATAATTCCCCAAACCAGCTTTTATAAATATTATGTGGGACTAGCAACAGTTAATTAGCTTCCTTTTTTATATGTACATTTTTAATATTTTTCCACCCATCCCATATTCATTTTATTAGCTCAATTTGGGTTCATATTGATTACATGAGGAGCACTGGAAAATGAGGATTTTTGGTGTGTATAGGAAACAGAAATATTGGCCTCTGTGAGACTCTTGCAGTGTGAAATGTCACGATAGTCCTGTTTTATGAAGTAACTAGGAAATTAATTCATATCCCCATGGTAACACTTGATATATTTCATATTAAGTCAATGAGGAATAAACCACAACAATTATTTCAATGTGTCACATTATTTCAATGTGCTTACAAACGAAAGCTAACTCCAGACTTTGTTTCATGAATCACAACTCAATGCTTTGGTTACAAAAGAAGTATTTTAAGGTTTCACTGTCAGTTTTGTGAAAAAAACCCCAACATGGTCCTTAAATTAATATGGTAAAAAAACTATATTATAATTAATTTGAATGTTGATATATAACTACGGCTCTTCTGTGTTTTGCAGTACTTTGGAAGTTTGCTTGTGATATTCTGTGTTGAACTGGCCTGTGGTGTTTGGACATATGAACAGGAAGTAACGGTGAGTCAGAAAAGGAGGATACATTCTGAAACAAAAGAAAACAACAATTTTCATTAGTTAGCTGTTCTCTAACTGCTGTACATGCATCTTTGGTCATGGCTTTCTGTCAACCTAGAATTAACTTCTTCAAAAACAACAAAAAAAAAGATTATTCTGAGAAAACAACTCTCTCTAAAAAAATGGTTCAGTCTGACATTTTCTTTTCTTGAGAATCAAATCCTGAAGTCTTCATTTATTTATTAAATCATTTTTAGCCAGTTGTACCTCTGGCAAATGCTCACTGAAGTCAATAGGAGCTTCGATTGAGGTAAAGAGTACAGGTTTAGGGCCTGCCTTTTCAGAGCGAAGATATGAGAATTTAGAAGAAGCTTATTCCAAGACCTTTCTCCTTTTTGGAGGGATACATCTTTTTGTAGTGCGTTTTAAATGAATAGTACGTTCTTTCCATAAATTACTTACTGTCTGCAGAGGCCTAGCCATTTCTCCTCCAACTATAAATGCCTCCGTTTTACGTGAAACATGCCTCAGCTATAAAATAGGTTTCTGTAAATCTCTGAAGACATTTCATCTCCATCTAGTATTTATAATTGCACTGGTTCTTAATTTATTCAAACTGGGGACCTATGACTGTTATACAAAATATGCTAAATACTGAGCAGAAAGAAAACTGACATATTATTCTGTTAGCTCTTATATCTTATTCTCTTGTTTTCAGTTCAGTTCATTTTTATGAACAGAGGGACATATAGTTCCTCTGAGCTACCAGTGTATGCCCAAGACACTGGACTTTTCAATACCAGTCAGTACGTAGCAATTACATTGCAGTAAAAAGGGAGGCAGCTCATTTGTTATTTGTGCAGTCCTGGGACCAAAGGAATTTTTGGCAGATCTGCACTCTGGAATTATGTGGCAGCATTTTGCTTCAGAGCTTATTCCCTTGCCATACAGATTCCAGAGTGGTGTTATGCTTCTAATATAACACCGATTAAAGATACTGCTTTGCTTAAATGTCAGGTTACATTGATATGATACATTTTTAAATGGCGAATGCAGATCATAAGCTTGATTTACCTTATAGGCACAGCCATTCTCCTTTGGACTTCTGCCAGGGCTACAACTACAAAGTAACATCCAGGCCTCTGTAGCACTCTCTTATTGGTGGATAATGTCTGCAGGGTATGTCAAAATGAAGGAACCTTCAAGTGCACTAGGACTACACCCTCTTTTAGAAAATTGGGGTTGTGCATCCTTTGTCCCACTGTGACCTCACCTTTGGAGCAGATATTCCAATTGCTCTGGAACAGTAGCAGAAGCCAGTGTAGCCTGGGGCTGGAGTTAGCTTGTGCTATATGTTGTGGCATTGGTGATTCAGAAATCAAAATAAGGTCCTAGACTCAGTCATCTCTAAGGGCACCTATACATGTGCCCGACACCTGTTTCAGTGCGTTCTAAATAGCAGATTAATTGAGCTTCTGTTGGAGCATTCTAATTGGAATGCTCCAGCAGCCTTGCCATCTTATGTATTCAGCATCTCCACATTTCAAAATGGCATTGGGGGCGCTTTAACTAAAGCTCGTCAAATGAACTTTACTTAAGTGCCCCCACCACCATTTTGAAGCACGGAACACTGAATACATGAGATGCTGTGGGTATTTTAATTAGAGTAGCTAGCTGCCCCCCCCCCCCCCCCGCCCCCCCCCAATCCTAGAGCACTTGTCAAAATACCCTAAAGAGCTACTACCATCTGCTTTGCATCTTGGGTCAGAAATAGCTCAGATTCTTCACTTTCCCCATGTCTTTCTTAGTTCCTAGAGAAAATCAGTAATAGAGATTATAAACCCTTGAATAAACAGAACAAAAATACATATGGACTCAGTGTTAAATATTATCTTTCCTACTTACTTCCCCCCTCCTTCCCTGCTCATGCCACTTTGCTTCCTTTCTTTCCTGATTATTATTTTGCACACACTTTCTCACACTCTCCTTCACTTTCCCACATGCCCTCCTCTTTTCGTTCCTTTTTTGTCCAGTCTTTAACTTGCTGTTCTCTTGCCCTGTTTCTCCTCATACTAATGCTGCTTGCATTGTATGGTGAACCCAGTACAAAATTCTCTCAGATCTTTGGTCACTAAGCCTGGCTACTGATTGCCATGCTCTGAGACCAGTCCTACCTGAAACAGCATCTTTGAAGTCAGCGCTACTTTTTGGAATGGCTCTGTGTTATTTACAGGTCATTTCACAAAGCTGGTTGACACAAAGAATGGTCATTTAGAGTATGATTACTATTACTCTTTCACATTGAACGATGAAGAAAAACCCATCTGTCAGGGTGTCTTGCTGTCACATGGGTTCAGTGTTGCAAAAAATCACAGGAACCCCTATTAAGTTATAGAAAATCAATTGGCATTGGTGTGTGTGGGTATGCAATTGCTGTCAAACAGCACTGGTGTGGCATAACCACATGTACTAGCCCACTCTGAGCCCTGCTTAACATATGGACAACTCTGCCATAAGAGTTCCTGTATAAGCAGTTTGACTTCCATATTATGAGAGTTTTCGGTATGAAAAGAGTGCCCCATGACCAGTCTATTCTACCCACAAGATTGAAAAGCTGGCACAGGTTCTCAGCTTACTTGAACTGCAGTCAGAGTTGCATGCTTATTAGAAAAATAGTAATGTATTAATACAAATATAAATTAAACAGTTGACTAGGCATTTTGAGTTTTCATGCTCGAAAATCAAACCATAAACTCTACTTTTAGATTGGTCACACCCTCCACAAAGGTGCCTCTCAAGGAATGAAGCTAGACATACGATTCCCATGAACATGTTCTGGCATGCACTGAAGTGCATTGGTTGACCAAGATGTATTTAGTAGATGCGTTCAAATCATTTGTCACCTTGATGTTCTTGTTGCAAAAGATAAAGATTTTAAAATCCCTTCTTAGCTCTATAATTGTTACTATGTTATTATAATTGGGTTTAGTCTGCTTTGGTTTACTACTTAATTTTCTCCTCTGACTTCTGCATTCGTGTGTGCTGCTTTTCATTTTTTTCAAAAAGCATGATACCTTTATTACACATGTAACTTTGGATTTGATTCAACTAAACAAAGGAGTCAAGCAAGTATGCTCTGAACTGCAGTAGTATCAAGTATTATCCAAAAAAATCAAAGCACTGATTTTTAACTCAAAATAAAGAGAAATATGTTGAATACAGAGGAAAATTATTTTATTGTCATGATCTTTCATACAATTTTTAAGTAGGAACTGGGACATTCTGGATTTCATAGGTGCTTGTTAAGCACTATACTGATAAGATATATTTTTAACATGGATATTTGCAAGATCAAAATCTTTGAGAATAAAAAATAAAAGCTTACAGAATTCCCAGTACCTTCAAGGTGTTTCATGTACCACTTCACAATGGTTTGTGAAGTGGTGTGTGAAGACAATGTAGTTTCCATGAGGAATTGCAGAAGAACTCTGTAAAGAGTATAATGTAGTTACATGTCAATGGATGCTGTTGTTTGGACTGAAATAATTCATTCAGGAAATGTTTCTTGTTTTATGTTCGTACAACACCTAGCACAATGAAGATTTGAGGCCTTGGAGCTAGTGTGGTATAAGCAAGAAATAATAAAACCTGTTAAAGTTCAGAAAGTATTTAATAGAAGACTATTACTAGAAGCACTCATTTTAATCTGGATAAATCAAAGAATCATAGATTATTTGCATTGGAAGGGACCTCAGGAGGTCATCTAATCCAACCCCCAGCTCAAAGCAGGACCATCCCTAACTATATCATTCCAGCCAAGGCTTTGTCTACCTGGATCTGAAAAACCTTGATGAATGGAGATTCCCAAACCTCTCTGGGTAGCCTCTTCCAGTGCTTTACTACCCTCCTCATGAAAACTTTTTTTCCTAAACTTCCGTTGCTGCAACTTCAGACCATTGCTCCTTGTTCTGTCATCTCCCACCACTAAAAATAGTTTAGATTCCTCCTTTTTGGAACTATCCTTCAGGTAGTTGAAGGTAAATCCCTCCTCAGGCTTCTCTTCTTTAGACCTAAGTAAACCCACTCCTCTCAGCCTCTCCTCAGAAGTCATGTGCCCCAGCCCCCTAACCATTTTCATTCCTCTCTGCTGGACACTTTTCAATTTATCCGCATCCTTTCTGTAGTGGGGGACCCAAAACTGGACACAGTACTCCAGATATGACCTCGCCAGTGCCGAATAGAAGGGAAGAATCACTTCCCTTGATCTGCAGCCCAGTATGCTATTAACCTTCTTGGCAGCAAGGACACATTGTTGGCTTATATTCAGCTTATTGTCCACTGTAACCCCCATGTCCTTTTCTGCAGAGCTGCTGCTTAGCTAGTCAGCCCCCAGCCTGTAGCAGTGCATGAGATTGTTCTGTCCAAGTGCAGGACTTTGCACTTGTCTTTATTGAACCTCATAAGATTTCTTTTGGTTCAGTCCTCCAATTTGTCAAGGCCACTCTGAATCCTAGCCCTACCCTTCAGCTATCTACTACTCCCCCCCAGCTTGGTGTCATCTGCAAACTCGCTGAGGGCGCACTCTATGCCATCTTCCAGGTCATTGATGAAGATATTGAACAAAACTGGCCCCAGGATCAAACCCTGGTGCACTTCACTTTACACCAGCTGCCAACTAGACATTAAGCCATTGATCACCAACCTTTGAGTCCAGTGATCCACTCAGTTTTCTATCCACTTTACAATCTATTCATCCAATCTGAGCTTTCTTAGCTTGCTTGCAAAAACGTGGGAGACCATATCAAACGTCTTGCTGAAGTCAAGGTATATCGTTTTCACTGCTCTCCCCATGTCCACAGAGTCATAGAAGGCAGTCACATTGGTCAGGCATGACTTGCCCTTGGTGACTCCTTGGATGACTGTTCCTAATCACTTTCTTCTCTGAGTGCTTAGAAATGGACTCCTGGAGGACCTGCTCCTTGATTTTTTCAGGGATGGAAGTGGTCTGTAGTTCCCTGGGCCCTCCTCCTTCCCTTTCTTAAAGATGGGCACTATATTTACCCTTTTCCAATCATCTAGAACCTCACCCGGTTGCCACGAGTTTTCAAAGATAATAGCCAGTGGCTCTGCAATCACATCGGCCAAGTCCCTCAGCACCTTTGGGTGGATCACATCTGGCCCCACAGACTTGTACACATCTAGTTTTTCTAACTAGTCCTTAACCTGTTCTTTCACCACTGTTGGCTCCTCACCTCCTCTCCAAAATGTGCTGACAGGTGCAGTAGTTTGAAAGTTAACCTTGCCTGAGAACACTTGAGGTGAAAAAGGCATTGAGTACTTCAGTCTTTTTTGCATCCTCTGTCACTAGGTTGCCTGCCCCATTCAGTAAGGGACCCACACTTTCTCTGGTTTTCCTCCTGTTTCTAGCATACTAGTAGTAACCCTTCTTGTTACCCTTCACGTCCCTTGTTAGCTGCAACTCTAGTTGTGCTTTGGCCTTCTTGACTTCATCCCTGCATGCCCAGATAATACTCTTATACTTCTCCCTAGTTGTTTGTTCAAGTTTCCACTTCTTGTATGCCTCCTTTTTGTGTTTTAGCTCACTGAAAAGTTCCCTGCTAAGCCAAAGTGGTTTTCTGCCATACTTGCTAGTCTTCCTGCACATCGGGATGGTTTGTTCCTGTGCCTGTTCGTCAGTAAGGTTTCTTTAAAATACAACCAGCTCTCCTAGATTCCTTCCCCACTCAGACTGGCTTCACAGGGGATCCTGCTCATCAGTTCCCTGAGGGAGTCAAAGTTTGCTTTTCTGTAGTCCAGGGTCCTTGCTTAGCTGCTACTCTTCATAATCTTGAGGAAAAGAAGGAACTGTCATCTCAGGGTCGCTACTGACCAAGTTGCCATCCACTACTACGTTCCTCATCAATTCATCCCTGTTTTCAAGAAGAGCATGGCCCCTAATTGGCCCCTCCAACATTTGCACCAGGAAGTTGTCCCCAGTACTCTCCAAAAATATCCTGGATTGCCTGTGCACTGCTGTATTGCCCTCCCAGCAGATGTCAGGGTGATTGAAGTCCCCCAGGAGAACCAGGGCCTGTGATAGGGAAACTTCTGCTTTCTGTGTGAATAAAGCCTCATCCACCACTTCCTCCCTGTCTGGTGGTTTATAGCAGACACCCACGATGACATCACCCACGTTGCTCTCTCCTCTGACGCTAACCCAGAGATCTTCAAGAGGCCTATCTCCAGTTTCACACTGGAGCTCTGAGCAATTATACAGCTCTTTTACATAAAGCGCAACTCCTCCTCATCCTCTTCCTTCTCCACCTCTTCTCCCCTACCTGACCTTCCTGAGCATTTTATACCTGTGCATGACAGTACATCAGTCTTGCAAGCTATCCCACCAAGTCTCTCTAATTCCATTATAGTTCTGTGAATGTGTGAGGATTTCCAGTTCTTCCTCCTTGTTTCCCAGGCTTTGTGCATTCATGTACAGATACCTGTGGTAAATAGCTGATTGCCCTACTTTCTCAGAAAGAAAGAGAGGGCCTGTTGCCTCCTCCTGCTTGTGCTTCCTCGAGATCAGCCTCTTCCCAACTTTCCGCAGGGTATTGGTCTCTAACCCCCAATGAACCTAGTTTTAAAGCCCTCCTCACTAGCTTAGTGAGCCTGTCTGCGAATATGCTCTTCCTTTTCTTTTTCAGGTGGATTCCATCTTTTCCTAGCAGTCCTTGGAATAACATCTGTGGTCAAAGAAGCCGAAACCCTGCTGGCAACACCATCTGTGCAGCTATGCACCGATTTAGCATTGCAATGTCTTCCAACCATTTCTCTGGGTCTCTTAATCTGCCACCCCTCGCTTCCTGCCCCTCTTTACAGGCAAATCTTCCCTAACAAACTCCCTTAAAAGGTGGCCTGTTCACTGCTCCTTGGTCTCAAAAGGTTCCCCTTTCCCTGCTAAACTGCTTCTGTTCACCAAGCTTACAGTAAAGGAAGGTGAGAGAGTTTCCAGGCAAACTCCCTAGCCAACTCCACCTTGTTCTGGACTGTTTAAACAAGGAGATTACATATTAGCCATATGGAAAGGTTGGGTTCAGAAGAGTGTGTTCCCTGGAGGAACAGATAAGATGAGTTTTATCTACTTATATTACATATATGTAGGTTAGTTGCTCTTAATTAAAGGAAGAGCTTACCTTAAAGCCTCTGCTTCAAAGAGGGGGGCAGCAAACTGACCCAGGAACTGCTTGCAAACTGCCCAGTTTCTTGCCCCTGTTCGTTCAATCCTTGGTCACTTAGGGAGTTTCTTTTTATACCCTCCTGTGCCCCTTGTTAATACTCTTATAGTATTGAGAAGGTGGCTTTAGAATAGTTGGATTTTTTTTAAACCAAATATATGAAATTAAAGGTTACTTTTGAAATTGTGATTTGTTTCAGTACAGTTAGTAAACCTGAACAAGGGTGAAAATAACATGATGAGTTGAATAAAGTAAAAATAACCTGAATGGTATGTGTACCTGGAGAACTATGTTAAAGAATTAAGCTCCTTTGTTAGCTTGCCATACCATAAAGCTAGTCCAGCTGAAACAGAAGTCAATTTCTGATCTTAAACTTTGGCTCACTTTTGTGCTAAATGCAACAGCTTGCTTATTTTGTTACTTACACACTGCTGATCAGGTGAGGGTTAGAGACAAAAGAAAAAGTAAATTATTAAAAATACTCCATTTTTTTAGAATACTTTAAAGTAGCTTTCCCAGTACATATTTCAACAGAACATCTGTGTGTACAAAAAAGACTTGCTGAGCAAAAGTTGCTACCTTATATACAGTTAATCATGAATGTGTTTGAAGGATGTGCTGAAATGGGATGCACTCAAATGTGCATGTGTGACGTGTCTGCATCCACTGAAATCAGAGGAAAGACTCCCACTGATCATTGGGCCTTGGATCAGGACTTTTATCTGATACAAATCAGCAGTCATTTAACTGAATTTTATACTAGGCCTCTGAAACTCTCTAAAATGTGGTATTTTCATTTATTGATATGTTCGTCCCCTATTGTGTCACATAAATGGATTTCTAAACAAGCAAAGGATAGAGATTAGTGTTTTCCTGCTGTTTTTATTAATACTAATAAAGCTGTGAAAATGTTTGAATGGAATAATTTTCTTCTTTTGCTGAAATGAAGCAATCAAACTAATTTATATTAAGTATGCCAGAATAAGTAAAAATACAGATTCATTAGGCACTAGGTTTAGACCAGGGGTGCTCAACCTCCGGCCCATGGGTCTGGCAATTTGGGAGCAGGGGAGCAGTGGCCATTATTATGGCCACCCTTCCCCCCGCCAAAGCCCCAAACCCTATTCCCTGGGTGGCCCGTTGGAACCAAGCTATGCCTCATTCCATGGCAGGGCCAGGCCCCGCTCCCTGCTTCTGGATCAAAGCCAGGCCTCACCCCGTTTCCTCCCCACAGGGCTGGTTGGGACCTGGCCATGCTGCCTTCCCTCCTATTGGAGCTGGGCCATGCCCCTTCCCCC